CTAAACTGGCTCAGCTGCCTCTCTTCTTCCACAGGTGTTTACATGCTCAGGAATGAAATGAGGCAATGGGAACCTGCAAGGTGTGAAGGGCACCATCTGCCCTCGGCCGAGCTAACTGGAGCTTCTCAAGCAGATGATCGTTCCAGGCGGCTTATCCCTGCCCGGCATCCCAGAGCTGGCAGGAAACTCGCAGGCACTGGCGATGCCTCGGCTGGGGCTCCCTCGTGAGGTGCTCCTGTAGCACAGTTCCTTTCTGTAATTAAGGCCTTGACGTCTTCTCTATGTTTCTGGGGCAGTTTGTCAATAAATTACACTCATTAAGGAAATTGCGTTGGAAGCTTTAAGTCTCAGGCTTGGCAATGACTCTCTCCTGTGACTTTACGGTAGTAGTAGTTCTGGTTCTTTTCAGCTACAGTCATTTTCAGGCTCCTGCTACATATTCTTTTCATTCACAGTTGTGGATAAGAAAAAAGATATTCTGTTCCCACGGAGGGCACAAACTCTCTCTTATCTCTCTGTTTTGAAGATGGGAATGACAATATCTGGAGTCTGTCAGATATTTTTAGCAGGTCCCAATACAGCTTTGTTAATTGGAAGAGCTATTTTCCCTGGAATAGAAATGTTCAAAATGTCCAATAATTGATGAAGGCCTCCTGCAAATCCTCAGATGGAAGCAGGAGAGATTCATTTACCCTCCTCAGTCGTTCTTGGAAGTCTTCATTTTCAGCCAGCGAGAACCAGTTTTCTGGGCAGATACCAGTGACTGAAGAGCCTGAACGTGCAGGACATCCAGGAAGAGGAGGAGGAGTGGAGCTATATGGCATGGTCCTGGACTTGCCTGTGTTCAGGTCTGTAAGGGACCTTAGGACTCCCTGCCTGCCCTGAACACACACACACAGCCTGAAGGGACCTCAGCGCTTGCCTGTTCCCTCTCGCAGAAACAGTCAGCCCTATGTCATTTCTCATAGATGTTTGTCCCTAAAAAAGGCAGGCAAGAGAACTCTCTTCTGTCTCTGTAAGTCAGAAGGAAAGCAAGAAAACTCAGCCTAGAAAGGCAGAAACGTTGATGCATGCTAGGTGTAACTGCAGTGCATTTGGTCTCACCAAAACAAAGTGTGTATATTCTGGGATGACCACGGCTGATCCAGGTGCAGATGCAGATCCCTCCCTCTCCAGGGTCCTTTCTCTGGAGTCAATAAGCAAAACCCAAGCACAGGCTGCTGTGAATCCTGAGCCTAACTTGGGGTCACCAGATGGTCCACAACTGACAGACCAACGCGTACCATGGCCCCTGGCACGCCTGGGGCCAGCGATTGCTCCCATCCCCACGTCAGTGAAGCAGGAGGCTTGCTGGCAGAGCAGCACGGGTTATCAGGAGGCGTGCTCAGCTCCTCGGCCTCGGCTGTCGAGCCTCCTCTGGCTGGAATGAAGGAGCTACTCATTCGGTCCTTCCCATTTCGTGTCTTCTGCAGCAATCAAGTAGAAACACTTTAAGCCTCAGTTCACTTGGCCTGAACTCTCCTATTCCAGTGTACTCACCAAATCTACATTTTCTCATCTTAAGGTAAAGCACAGTAAGGACTTTCAGGGCTGATGAGCCAGAATCACCTGCCGTAGGGGCAGGTATGTGAGCAAAAGCACGGGTATGCTACAAATAAACCTGACTTTCACCATCCCTCTGTGCAGAAATGGCCCTGGGCACCTGATTTCAGCCCTCTGCCAAGCAGAGTGACTGCTCAGGACTTGTCATCTATCTTCTGCCTTCCACAGGTCCCACCAGCTGGTCAGAATGAGAACATAATAAAACAAAGCAAGCTTTTTCTCTTCGCAGCCTGCAAGTCAGAAAGTCTATTAGAGTCCCCGTGTCAGAAATCCATACTTGATTATATCACAACAAGTGAAATTGAGAAAAATGACAGCCCCATTTAAAGCTGCCATATTTGGTTATGTGTGATAACAGACACATGCACTGTGGTGGCTGGGTTGGTGGGGTGGGGAGGAGAAAGGGGGGACAAATCATTTGCCACTGGAGTTACATGGAAATTAAAATAAAATGTCATCACACTGGGAGGAGACCAGGGCATGGAGGCAACTCCTCAGCGAGAGATTTATTTGTGGTTGTTTATTAGGCTACGTCTGATCTGTGCCGCGATTAACATACGTCAGCTGCAATTTTTGACATTTCAGAGATGTTTGTTGGGATGGGGAAGGGAAGGGAGGGGGGAGATAGGAGCAGATGGGGTGTGGGGCTGCCTTCCGCTGCTCTGCAAACCACATCCTTAAAGAAAAACCAGAGCAATTAGCTATCTTGCCTTTCCTTGTTAAATAAATATTTACCAGTTTAATTAGTTAATTGCCATGCAGCTCTCAGAAACTCTTCTCAAGCTAAGCAGGGAAGTTCTGGACAAAGAGTGGCCAAGTGCTGGAGAGAAAAGAGGGAGCTCCGAGCTTCCCTGCTGGGGAGACCTCTCTGTGCCTGGGGAGGGCATGAGCCCTGCCACCGCTCCTCGTGGCCTCGATGCAGCAAAGCAGGGCTCGCTGCAGGGTGACCTGACCTGGGAGATGCCCTGCGTCTGCCTTGCAAGCCTGCCTGGGTCTCTGGGCAGCTCCCCTACTTAAAGTCCTAACGGGGTCCTTTGTCGGGCAGCTGAAGACCGAGTCCTGACTGATGGCAGGGGACTATTTGCCAAATACTTTTTAAGACTGTAATTATTAATCCTGTTCAGTTTGGTAAATGCCTAAAGGGCAGGCTGGAACACGGCTGTGTTGTGTTAGTTTGGTACCAGCGCGAGCAGCAGATGGTCCCTGCCCTGAAGATCTTACACTCTAAGTAGATGTGTCAGACACATTTATATTGAGCTCGCACAGAGGCAGCAGCAAATGCCTTGCACTTATAGAGCAGATCACGTGCAAACCCTGCACCAATATTCCTGTGTTTCCTCTGGAGGGAGCGACATCAGCCTCATGCTGTTGAGGGAATGATGCCTCGTTAAGGGACTTGCTGAAGGTTACGGTGCAAATTGGAGGCAGAGTACGCATGGTAGTCAATCCCCAAACTTTAAAAATGCATGCAAGAAAGCAAGAAACTTGATTATAATCCCAGCCAAGAGATGCTGGCAGAAACACCTCCCGGATCCTCAGGCCAGCTGGTGGTGTGAAAGAGCAAGTGTAGCGGGGAAGGGACAGTTACACTTGATTTCCGGGAGCTTGAAGAGTCTGACCCTTTTTGATCAGTTAAGTTATTGATCCTAAATTCTGCACGTACCAGAGGAAACAGAATTTTAACTAGATTTTAATTACTTGTTTGTTCTTGGCAGGAGCCACTCAGCACAGAGAGATGTATGCGCAAGTTTGTTTATGTTCGTACCAAACGCTGCATCCTTAACAGCCTTGCAAATTGAGAGGGGGCTGGGAGAGGCAGCTTTAATTGTTTTATCCTTTTGGCTGCTATTGTTGAGCTGACAGGAAACCAAGACTGTAATTCGCATCACGCTCGGCACCGTACAGAGCACATTTCCAAAACGCAGATTGGGAATAATACGACATCCAGGTTGCAAAGGACCTAGATGCCAGAGCTCACCTCCTGCGACACCAGGGAACTGGGTGCTTCGCCTGGCCCATATGGGCGTAGCTGGGGAAAATCTGTCCTTCCTGAGCCTCAGGAAGAAGCCAGAACAACAGGAAATGGGAATGCAAGAGAATCTATAAGATTTTAAGACTACAAGTGTTGTCTAAGCAAAGACATGACAGAAGGCCATGTACGTGCTTGCACGTGTGAACCCCCTGGGCAGATTCACAGCTGCTCTGCTCTGCGCCACGGGCCCGCGTGTTGCTAAACAGCCACCACGTAACGCCTGACCTGCCTTTTGGGTGGCAGCAGCTAACCACGCTGCTGCTGCCGCTGGAGTTGCACAAGATTATTGAATGCAGCGGAGTGACAACCAGAGCTAGCTGCTAAACAACAGTGTGCCTCCCTTCTTGCTCCTCCCCGGCCAATGCAGAAGCAAGGGGATCTGAGAGCACCTGTGCAAGGCAGGGAGCACCCGCAGGGAGCACCCTAAGAGCAAGGAGCCTTCCTTGGGCTGCAGGGCCCACTGATCTTTAGGGTGAACAACTGAGACGAGGCAAATGAGAAGGGCTGAGAGGAGAGAAACAGAGCCCACGCAGGGCAAGGAGCTAATTGCCCACAGTGGAGTTCAGCTTGCCGCCCTGCCTGCCCTGGGGCAGTGCCCCGGGCCACTCGAGGAGTGCCATTTTGCCCTTTTCCTGCCTGTCATTAAGAAAGCAGAGGACTGATCTGCATGTAGAGCATTTACAGGAGGTCACAGCAAAGAAAGTGATCCCAGATATCTTCCTGGCCTGATCTTATTCTCAGATGTGAGAAAGCAGCAAGGCTGCACACCACAGAGGCTGGGAACAGGGCCGAGATTAGGGCATTTGGGCCCCGACACCAACTAGGTGCACCCATAGGTGTCCTAGCTCAGCCTCCCAGGCAGCCTCCCCACCGTCAGTGCAAACGGTTGGTGACTCCTCGCCAGGTTTGCTGCAGTTGCAAAGCCACCCAGCTGCGCTGCTGGGCTGCTGCACCCCTCCAGCCTAGCCTGCCCTCAGCACAGCTCACCACAGCGGGCTCAAAACCACATCCTATGGCTGGGCCTGAAGCAGAACCTGATGAGCTGACATCTACCCACACTTCCCCTGGCAGTACGGGTCTGACAGGGCTCTGCTCGTGGCCCCCACCACACCTGGAAGTGCTGTGTGTCCGGGGAGGATGGGGAAGGGGACCCAACAGGGCTGGGGGGTTGAACAACAGGAATCAAATCCACCAAGCTGACACAAGGCAGAAAGACAGTGAAAAGAAGGAAATAAAGGTCAAACACATTTGCGTTTAAATAAGAAACCAAAATATTTTTATGAGTCATTAATTTTTCTTCTATAACTAGGCACGTTTGCATGCAAATAACGGAGGGACATAAATGGTTATAAAATAAGTCTCTTACCATATGAACTCGGTAGAGAATGCTAATTCCCAAAGTCATGAACGGCTTAGAGAAATCAATCACCTTCTCCCGCTCCGCCGTAATCGTCAGCCCTGCTACGGCCAAATCGGCTTTCTGGTGAGAAAGGAGAGCAGAGAAGATCAGGACCCCGAGCCTGGGAAAGGCACGGGGCAGGGAAAGCGGCAAAGCCATGTCCGGGGCCATGCAAGACACCCGATCCTGGAGGATGGACGTCCCATCTTTCTGGGACAGGGCAAAACCCAGGCTCTGTGGAAACCGTGGGAGTTTCGCTGGTGATGTCCCCTAGTTCGGACTATGCTCTGCACCCCTCTTCCCCGAGGGGGTTTCACATAAGCCCTGCTCAAACACACTCCAAATCTTAACCCACCTTGTGCTCCAGACTATTCTCTGCATTTTTCCTTTCCTCACCGGGGCATTTTTATCTCTATACTTACAGGTTGGAAAAATCACAAAGCTCCCAGCGGGGAGCCCACTGTGCTAGGAGCTGTACTAACAAACAACGAACAAAACAGGAGCCCCTACCCCCAGGCGCTCACAGCCTGATTGCCGTTTCTATTCGTTGAGTGCTTTAAGACCTGGCAAGACAGGAGCCATGGAAACAATAAATATTGTACTAATCTAAAGAAGATACAACCTCCCCCTTCCAAAGCCCCTGTTGAACACAGCTGTCCCCTTCCAGACAAGGCTGTTACCTGCAAGTGCCACAGGTAGGAAAGCATAACAAAGCAGCATCATTACCCCCGTACCCTGAGCCATGAAGTTTACAAGCCTGCCAACCCCAGACTTCCAAAATTGCAGATCGGTCTCCAAAAAATTCAGAGGACTGCCATAAAAATTTCCAGATTGACTGGCAAAGCAAATGAGATTAAGGGAAAAAAATGAAAATAATTTCTTCCAGTGTTAATACCCTTGTAATATAGATAAGGGACTTGAATTTTAAATATTTTTTTTATTACTATAGCTCTTTTAATGTCTGTAATTGCTTTCTGTAAAAATGAAACCTCCTCCATTCCTTTACACATTTGTTTGCCTGCTTTGCAGGACAATGATTATGCAAGTGGAAAAAGAGAAGGGGGGGAGAAGAAAAGCTATTTGCACTTGTTGTCCCTGAGTTTCATGAAGTCTGTGCAGAAGCCAAGGCACTGTCAGGCCCCAAGACCCAGTAAAACATGCGGCTTATCTCCCTGGATCCATGCGCTAGTTGTAAATGTACCACATACGGGCAAATTTGTGGGTGCATCACTCTTACCATGCTCTCTGACCCTGCTGCTCTTGGATTATTTTCCTTAAGAGAAAGAGGACTAATCACCTCCTGGCAGAGCTTTGCCGGGGATCTTTCCCCCCCTCCACCCCCAACAGACTTGCCCACTTAAAGGCAGGCAGGGAGGAAGGGCCAGAGAAAGGTTGGAGTTGCAGGAGCAAAGAGCTGCACTGCTGGAGCCCGCAGGAAGAAGGAAAGGGAAAAGAAAGGCAAGGTGATCTTCAAGCCTGCTCAGCAAGGGGGGGTCACGTAAGAGGTGATATTTCACAGTCCATGCAGGACTGCTTTATTGGACAAGCCCAGTGCCAGATTTTTGCAATTGTTTCCAAGCAGTTATTACAGATTCCTAGGAGGTTCAGGTTGGAATGAGTAATGAGCTAGGGAGAATTTCTACCTAGCCAGACATTTACCCACAGGGTTTTTAAAAGGCACCAATAATCACAACATGGTGTGTGAGCAGTTGAGCCCTATGTAAACACCAGCAGATCACTAAGACGGGATCAGTTCATCTGTGGAACATGGCATGTGAGGAATTTTATCTGCAAGGAAAGTCTAAAGCTTCCTAAACCTCTCTTGTCCATACTTAAAAGGGTTTGCAGGTACTATTGTCCTGGGGAGAGCTCTCCCAGCAAAGCCCCTCATGAAGATACAGATTATTCTAACAACGGATTTCTTCTCCCAGTTCTCTATACTGAATACAATTCTACCAGCAAAGTCATGGACTAAATACACGGTAAGTATGCTGCATCAAAGGTGTTTCATGGAAAAGCTCTAAGGACATTTCCATTCCTATCCAGAGGCCAATACAAAGGCGCTGCTGAAAGGAGCGGCGCAGCCCCTAGGTTCACCCAGCTAAGTGACCATCACTCGCCTGCCCCCACCCTCTTGGGACGTGGATGCCATCAGGGAACTTTGTGCTCTCTGGTTATTCCCCCAACTATCATCCTTTGGGACCCTTCCAGATCATGTAGGCAGTAGCATCTTGAAAGCTGCTCTTCCCTACGCAAAGCGTAATGCAAATCCATCCCCCCCCCTTTGCCTACGGAGCAGAAACTCAGCGCAGCAGAGTTGCCTTCCCTGGGCACGCAGGTTTTGTGCCCAGGTCCCCTCTCTCGTCTCCAGAGGGTCCTGCCATTCCCTGCCTGGTCAACTTTTGTCCTTTCAGGACTTTTGGCAGCATCAGAGCCACAGTAGCTCACAGCCTGCTCTAACCTGTGCCCATGCACAACTGCCTTCTCCCGTGCCAGAGCTCCCTGCAGCAGAGACCCGGCTCCTCGCAGCTTTAGCTGGGGCTGTGCTCTGTCACAGACGCTCTCTCTCTCTCTGCAGGCTCAGAAGTCAGGCAAGTTAAGAGCTGATTTCTGACAGCAATAAACCTTGATCTGGGAATGGCATGCGATGTATTCTCTGCCTGAATATCATCCATTTCATGCTTTCAACTTTGCTTCCTGATGTTCACAAAACTTCTTGTGATTCACTGAGGTCAGTGTATCTTAGTTACAGAGGAGCTCTGCAAACCCGAGTGCTCTCCAGCCCTCCCCGCCTGAGCACGGGTAGGAGCTGGCATTTTATAGGCTAAACAACGCACTGGGTGAAAAATGGGTTTTGCTTTGTGCTTCTGCGCTCTGTCCGCAACCAGGCCCTGAGGAAAGGGAAAACAGGAGGCAAAGGATGGGGGGAAGAGGGGGCAAACGCTGTTTGATTTTCATCCTTCCAGCACAGTCACAGCTATAAATGTCAGCGTGAAACAGGCTTAGGAAAAGACCCAGAGCATTTTGGGAGTAGAGACAGACACTTCTTTAACAAAACACTGCTTAAACTCTCACTAGGCGAGAGGAAGCCCAGGTGGGCTGGTGTCTGAGATAAAAGCACGAGCTGCCACCACCATACCTGGCATTAACCGTGGGATCTGCCTGCATTAGCAGACAGGCTTGCGCTGCCACTGGAAAGGATGTTAAACACGGGGGCTGAGCCGGGCTCCTGAAGAGGAACAACAATTAAGCAGCCTTAAGAAGCAAATTGCAGGGACTGCCAGTCCAGAGGAGGCGGCCGCCTCCTCACTGCAGATGCTGACAAGGCTCATCTCGGCGCTAATGGTGATGAATGGGGCCTGACGTCAGCCCTCAGCCCGGGCAGCGAGGATCCCGCCAAAGCCTCCTGCCGCACCGGGCACCGGCCGGGAGACTGGCCCTGCTCCGGCCCCGCAGCGATTCACAACCTCCTGTCAAGCTACGGGAAAAAAAACACAGTGAGAAGGTCCAAGCGGCGTAAGGCTTTGGGCTGCCTCCGTGTCAAACACAGGGAAAACAAACCTGAAGGACAGCTCTGGGAGCACAGGGCTGGGATTTCTTCCAGGAGCAGGAGTCCCTGACTTGAACAACGCCTTGGATGCTACATCTCCTGGGTGCATATGAGAGCACCCTTCTCACCAGCGCAGCCCACAGAGCACTGACAGCATCGCCAAGGTCAGGGAAAGCTATTTCTTACACTGTCCCTGTGCTTGGAGGGTCTTTTAGAAAGCTGAAATCAGTGTTCGACCTTCAGGACCCACCTGACCGCCAGCTATTACGCCCATTGCAGACCCATTGGCATCAGCTCTGCTGCTGCAGATGTTTCCCCACTGAAAACCTGTCCGGATGCGGTACTCAGCACCCCGCTGGAGGTGACCCTGCTTTGCGCAAGGGGTTGGACTGGATGATCTCCAGAGGTCCCCTCCGATCTCTGCTCTTCTGTGCAACTCTGCGAAAAAACCGCGGCCACTGCACGGCAGTTTGGCTGCAGCCTGCTTCACCTGGGCAGCGGCTCCCGAACCGCCGGGGCAATGACAGAGCAGTCTCTCTGCATCTGCAGATCTGTCCCATGGCACGATGGGTATGCCTCGGCCGCAGCTCGGCCGCCAGATCAATGTACTGATGGCTTCCGCTCCAGCTGCCCGTCTGATCTGACAGGAGCTATTTCGGGTTGTGCGACTCCTCCCGCTGGAGTGAGCGGCAGCCAGGTTGTGCACTCGGATGCATATTCTTGCGTTTAAAAGCAGGGCCAGATGAGGATCACTCAAAACTGGTGTTTGGGTTTTTTTAAGGATGTGCATGAATTCTGCCATATGAAAAGTGACAGCCTGAAAGCCCTGGAGGCTGCAGCCCTCCATTTAAGCCACAGTCAGTGATGGGATGACCAGCAATCAGTGCAGATGTCAGCCTCAAGTCTGCCTTCGCCGGTGTTTCTTCACCTGGACTATCTCTAGGGGTGGGAGGAAGAAGTCTGTGCCAGGAGTTCACCATGCCCGTGGGAAAAGCCAGTTAAGGTGAAGCACCAGAAAGGGGACCCTAAGCCCGTAGGGAACAGTAACAAGACCTAACCAGCTCACACCACACCCAGCGTCTTGTGTGCAATTTTGGCAAAATCAGCAGTGCGATGCAAACCTCTCTGTCCATACCCTCGCTGTGTTTGCTCAACAACCCACGCTCCCTCGCTTCCCCACTCCCCCTCGTTCCCCACCCTCTCAACCCCCCCCCGCGTCACACTTGCCAGCACGATAGCGTGCGAACAGACTCCCCCTCCCTCCCTTCACCCACGCACAGCTTTTCTCGCTGAACACCAACACCCACTGCCGAGCGGAGAGCAGGACTCTGCCAATTCTGACATATCTTCTCCCTCCTTTCCCCTTCCTGCCATTCCCCATCTTTGGAGCAGTTGAAGGGAGAGTGCCTCTGATTGTAAAGCACCACCTGGTCAGCAGCAAGGAAGCTGGAAAAAACACCACCCCAAAGCTTTGAGGTAATTCAGTTCTTGGTGTTGCTGCTCCTGAGGCCAGACCCTTCCACGAGATGGACAACTTCATCTCCCTCACTTTAAAAAGAGCCTTGACCACCACTGATCCCAGCCAGATTCAAACCACTGACACAGATACCAAAGATCTAGCGTTATTCCACAGCATCTCACTCCCCAAATGATCCTGCACAGAAGGGAAGAGCAGGAGCTTGCTGTCCCCAATCACCTGCTCCTCACTCCATGCACCTCCTCGCTCCGTGCCTTCTACAGCAGCACCGGCCTCGCCCAAATACGCTTGCCCTGGAAGCGCTCACGGATCCGCTGTGTTACCATCACCAAACGTGGTACGTTATTTAAACAATGCCGAAGGAAGCTTGGGCAGCTGATACAAGCTGCACAAAACACATGGTCAGTCTGCACGGAGCGTGCTCCTGCTGGGGCTGCTTTGTCGTCCCCATCCCCTGCACCCTGCCGCAGGTGAGGGGGCCGGGTCCTCTGCGGAGGGGACCGTCACCTTGCGCTGGTACCCAGCCAGCCAGGGTACTGATCCCAGCTGCCTCAGGGGGAAGTTTCTCAGGGGCCTTATAGCAAAACTGCAGCGTCGGATTCCTGCCAACAAAGCTTCCTGGCAAAACCAAACCACACCATCTCTTCTTAGCTCAGCTCTATTCTCCGGGGGCATTCCCGAGACGGGTAAATTCAGGAACTGTTGCTGACACAAGCCCATCTCCTCAGGGAGGAGCAAGGGAGCCGAGCACCAACAGCTCGCTGTGAGCCGATGTACAGGCGCTGAGCACAGCCACCACGGCACTACGCCACCAAGACAGCAAATACAGGCGTGGCAGAACAAGGAGAAAGCTGTCACGTTGCCTTGAAAATACATTCATTGGCTTGTATCAGACTAGTGAATTCATTTCAGCTCGAGGACGTACTGGAGAGAGAGAGAAAGGGAAGACCAGACAACCGTCAGGGACTCTGAGCCAGAGACTGTACTGCAGCGGGAAGGAGCAAGACGTAATTCTTCCAGCCCTATTGTCCCCTAAGGCTCTGATGCCAAAAAATAGAAGATGGGAAGATTTGCTGTTCCCCCTTGTTTGCTTGTTACGGATAGCACGCGTACGGTGTTAGCCCAACCGCTGGAGCCAGCAGTTGTCTGTGCCAGAGACGTCAAGGAGATCTGCCCCAGCCGGAGAGCGGCTTTACTCCTCTGCTCACTCAAGGAACGAGCAGGGTGTTCAGCCTCCCTGCCCTGCATGCACAGAGGGACCAATTAGCTCGGCGTTTTCTGAGTTTGTGACATCTTTCACTAAGGAACGGGCTCGAGTCCTTCCCAGTGATTTCTCCCAAGCCAAATCTCCATCGGCTGATCACAAAGTTTACAGGTTTCCTGATCTGACAACGAGTCAGACTGCTGACCTAAACACAGGAATCTCTACAGCTCTTCCACTAATCCCCCAAGCCATCCCGGTCCCCCTCTTCCTTAGCTCTTAATTAGTTTTGTGAGCAGGTCGATAAGATATGTACTGGTGAATTTGGGTCAACAACAAATTTATGTTTATATAGCATTCTTCTCAATCATATCATAGTGCACAATTAGCTGTAATAGAATTTTCAGCACTTAAGAATAAATCAATAGCTGGTTAATTTAGGAGCAATAAAATGAAACACTTTTCCCATATAGCCTATAGTTGCTCTGAAGAGATTCAGTGCCACAGGGGAATTACAGAGGCAAAAAAAAATGCTGGAAAGGTATTGCACGGAGCTGGATAATTTTCTGGTCCTGCACACTAAGTGCATGTGAGTCAAACCTCACTTTCTGACGGCTGATCAGGGTCAAGAAGGAATCAGTTTCCTACAATAATACAGCATTGCACAAAGAGACAGGCACAGAGCTTTTATTTTCGGTAGGATTTGGGAAGTTTTAACCTGCGTGACAGGTTTGTGTCCCAACTAATGCCCTTTCTGTGCTAAAGGCTGTATGGAGAAAAGTGCCCAAGGAATAAAGCCACTGAAAGAGGAACGCATGTGCCCAACATAGGATCTTTCGGCTCTTCTGCTTCGAGTGGTCCTGAAGCGGTATAGGGGATGAACAAGGGGCTGGAACCGAGGACAAAGCTCCTTGGGGGCTGACTGTCAAGGAAGGAGAGGAACCCCTTGGGCTCTGAAATGACCTCAGAAAGCAACGTCCCAAGCAGCCCTGAATAAACACAACAGCATGCACACGGCCAGATCTGCCCTGGCTGACCTGATCCAAAGTGCCAGTCCCTGGGACTGATCAAAAACTTGCTGAAACCATTATAAAGACTCTAAAAGGCCTAGAAGGAACAAAGCAGAGAAAGCTTTTTTCTCTTCTCCAATTTTTGATTCTGACCTCAGAAAGCAACGTCCCAAGCAGCCCTGAATAAACACAACAGCATGCACACGGCCAGATCTGCCCTGGCTGACCTGATCCAAAGTGCCAGTCCCTGGGACTGATCAAAAACTTGCTGAAACCATTATAAAGACTCTAAAAGGCCTAGAAGGAACAAAGCAGAGAAAGCTTTTTTCTCTTCTCCAATTTTTGATTCAGCCTCACACAGGCTTTGCCCGCTCTGTACTGTGAAGCAGAAGTAAAAATCCTCCTAAACAAGGCTCGAGCTGCAGAAGAAACAAATGGTTTCTATGTGAAGATGAAGTTAAAACACTTATCACTAAAGAAAAACCACCCTCCAGAAGCTCGCATTTAATGGGGAGGCACTGCCAAGGTTAGTAGGCCAAAAATTTGACGGCTATTCCCTTCCTTTGTTTGCATAATCACACGCTGCTCTCTGTGCCTTCCTTCTTGCCTCCCAAAAGAAATATTGCAGAACTGTAAGTGTGTGTGTGTGCGTGTGTGTGCGTGTATATATACGTACACAGAGAGAGAGAGAGATGTATAAAAACTATGCCAATAGCCCAGAGCATTTGCAAACAACTGTACAGAAGGCTCTTTAGAAGAAGCAGACGGAGGTGGGATCTCAGCTGGCATCAAGAGCTATTGCTCAACCAGGGAAGGGTGACCCAGGAGACTAGTTCAGGAGGGATCTCCAGGCCGTATTGTGCCCTGCCCCTGCCCCTCAGCAAGTCTTTTAGACCTAGGGTTGTCCCACCTGACTTCAGACACTCAGCCGAAGCTCCTAAGGAGGGTAGGATGAGTGTCAGCCAGGTCCCCTTCGCCACCCGGGGAAGCAGCAGACAGATGCGGAGGGCATTTTCTAGAGATGCTCGCTCGTCTCCCGCAGCTGGGAGGAAAGCTGTGGCAGGAGCCCCACAGCCCTGCCTGGAGCCCCAGGGGATGGATTCGCCCTCGTTCCTCCGCTGTGCAGGATGTGCCACTGTTGTGAGGATAATGGTGGGGTGGCTCAGGGGCTCCTCTCACACAGTGCCGTGGATTATCATAAACACACCTCACTGCAGATTTGCCACCAGCTGAGAAACTGTCGCTGGGTTCTCACAGGCGCTTCGGTAATAACAAGGCAGGGTAGAAATCGGTGAGCGAGGAAGTATTGCTTTAAATAACATCAATCAATGTTAGCTTCGGCTAAGCCTATTTTACTAAGGATCTCAGAGCATTTCATGAACTGTATTTAAGCTTCAGGGTCCCTGGGGAAGGACTACCTTTAGCTGCGGAGGAAAACAAAAAGCAGGGAGGGGGGGTACAGGCTGACTGAGCACACACATACACAAAAGTCTTGTCAAACCATCAAAGGCATTCAGCTTTCAGTCTAGCTGCTGTGCAACAACATGGCGAAGCAGAGCCATGAAAAAATCTCGATCCGCGCACTTCAAGCAAACAAAAAAATGTTCCTCTCCAAAAACAATACTCAAAATCAAGGAGCTCAAATGAATCTGCCAAAACTTTTCTGGGTAGAAATGTGATTCTTGCTTCCCTCCCAAACAGCGTGTTTCCGTAAGTTTTCTTCAGCTTCTACCAACCCCCACCAGAGCCTGCGTATTTTCCTGTTTCAAGCTTTCATTAATTTTTCCACTGGGAAAAAAAGTAATCCATTCCGTATCAAGCTCTTACGCAGGGAGCCCAGAGTCCAGGCCTCCCTTCCCACAAAGCGAGCACCCCTGAGAGCACCAGGGGCCCTAACTCCTGCGCTACTTCGCACGCTGTCCCATCGACACAACAAATACATTTGCCATTGGGAGAACATATTAAAGAGATCTTCTGGTCAAAGTCTCACAAGTGGACTAAAACCCCCATCCACCCTTATCATCCCAGAGCACTTAATAAAGCATCAGGGCTTTTCATTGCCAAGTCCCACTAGAGCACAGTTAAAAGGAGCCGCTAACTCACTCACCCGAGCAATCAGCTCCCCGACCATCCCTGTCCACGTGCCGTTTGCCTCAGGGACTCCATACACACCATCGCCAACGAGGTGGATCTTATAGTTGAAACGCAGGATCTCTGCCAGCTCCTTCAGCATGTCCACACAGAAGCCCTCGTAGCGGTCGTTGCCTTCCAGCTCCTGATGGTTCCACTTCAGCATTAAGTAAGGGTTTTCCTGCATTGAAACTGGGCAGCTGTCATTCCCATCTTAGCCGAGGCATCCCACCAGCATGGCGCCGAGCACGGGGCAGAGAGGGCAGTGGGCTCCCTGGCAGCACCGGGACGGCAGAGAATCTGATAAGGGGCACCCAAGCCAACCTCCCATCCCGATATATCCCTCTCGGCAAGGGTATAAGAGATACGGAAAGCTGGTTTGATCACTTGGAAACCCAAAGTGGTGTAAAGCTAGCAGAGCTGTTTCTACACTGGTATTCATCGGGCCCTGCTGTGTCAGGGATGTGCTGGAGGTGCAGTGGATAAATCCCAGTTTAGGATATGAAGCAGAGCTAAGGGATCATGCTTTGGGGGCTGTTTCTGCACAGGCCAGAGCAGTCCAGTGACTGCTCCGAGTTATTGGAAAGACATATAGATCCCAGCCTCTCCTGGCATATAGCCACTTCTCCAGTTTGTCCCCCTTTTCAACAAACTTTGTGGGACATGAGGAAATAGCGCCCAGAGTTCTTCAGGATTTTGAGTGTCTTCAAGGAAGGAGCAGAGGCTCTCGAAAAAATCATGGGACAAGCAACACCTGGAAGGGGAATTTCTTGAATAAAGACAGAGGAGGCTGTAGATGTGAAGTCTTGGTTCATAAAAGTTGTACCCATCTTGGCCAATTTCAGTAATTTTATGGGTAGAAGGGACAACTATCCCTTCCAACTTACCAGCTGTAGGCAAAACAAGAACATCATTCAGAGATGAATGTAAAATGGCAACTTATCCCCATCCCAGCCCTCTCCCCAGCTGCTTCTGAACTCATCAAATATCATTTCCATATGAAACATCAACTTGAGTTTAATTACACTGTCATGAATTGTCCTCAGTGCTGTAATTAGAGATTTGATCGTCTGTCCTTTATGAAATCAGTGTGCGATGCTGCATGCTGGGGGCCGAGGGGGGTAGGAAGAGGGAATAATATTCTAGCTGATTGACACCCCTAAGCGTTAGGCTGGCGAAGAGCTAATGGGAACTGTAGGTGACCCCCTCACTTACCAGGATGGTGGTGACAATGAGTGTGGTGTTGAACAGACTGTCTGATATGTTGGAGGAGAAGATCCTGTTGTCCATGCTGAGTCCTTCAGAAACGTGCCAGTGGCCAATCTGGAGAGATAAACAGCACAATAAGGGAACTTACAGGGCAAATTACTTGTACGCACCCACCATATGGCTCCTGTGACTGACCACCATCAAGCTGGCCCTGGAAGAGGCATTTATGAATGCTCCATTACCTTTACAATGCACCCTTCCAACAGGCCAGCAGAGAGATTAACCCACTGGTGCACAGCCCCGGCACACCCCCACCTACGTGACAATGCCAAAAACCTGCCCTCATTCACGGCGGGCGCTGCCTTCCCACGCATCCTCCCTGCAGCTGCGGCAAAGCCCTGCACCAGGAGAGAGCTGTGCGGTGGGCAGCTCCCCGGGGCTCGCGTCAGCCAAGCAGCCTTCTGCTTTGTCCCCTGATGCCACCAAGACGGGTCCATCTTACCCAGCAACCCCCACGCAGCCAAATCTGCAAGCTCGTCCCTCCCAGCGCGGTGTGGCTGGGAGCCCCTGCCGTCCCTCACGCTAAGGCACGGCAGCTAGGTCACGGCCACAGGACGAAGACTTGGTTGTCGCTCTCAACCTCATGCATTTTGGCAGACCCCTTCACTTCCTCAGTTCTCTGGAGGTCAACTCCTAAAGGGAACAGGGCACAGATTTTCCCCACGGGAGGCTGCCAGAAAGGCGATGCTATAGCTGGGGTTTGGCCCAGCTGCACCATCCCGCAGTGAGACCCAACCATCAGCACGCACTGCAGGGTCTTGATGACACTGAGCTCTTCAGACGGGTGCCATGTGTTACAGACACAGGTCGGAAAAACTTCAGGAAGTGCTGAAATCTCATGATTTCACAGTGAAAGCCCAGAAATGGGGAGACGGGGTTCCTGCCTCCAACTGCTGTCCTGCCTTACGCTGTCTCTGTAACTTTGAACAAAGGTTTCACCTGCCTGAAAGCAAGCAAAACCTCCTGCTGTCCTCCTGTGAGCGTCACTGCCATTACTTAAGGCTGGTAGAGGCCACTGTCAGTTCCTTGGAGGGAAAAACCACTTCACAGGGAGTATGACAGCATCGCGGCTTCCCTCGCAATCACCAGAGCAGCAGCACTGACGTGGGGCGGACGCCTTCCAGCCCTGACGAGCAGCTCCACCTTGGCGGCAGGTGGTGAAATGAAGCCACGTTCTCAGCGGTGCTGCACCGTGACTCATCTCCTCTATCTGCTATAATGGATGCCAACTACTATGATTAAGTTCTTCCAAACCCTTTGATTCAAGCTCATCACACCCAATAGCTCCATAGACAGCCTAATTCACCCATCCAAGCATCAGTGTCACTGCACCAAACCTAATTCCCACCACCGGTGGTGGGGACCAGTCCCCCAGTGCTCAGGAGAACATTGTGACTCAGCTGTGACGCAAGGCAACCAGCTGCTGCCTTCAGCCAGGGGAAGGAATGTTCAACAAAACCTAATTTTAACTTCAAGAGCCTAATCTCCCTCCCTCAGAGCTCAGGGCAGGGAGTTCAGCACCTCCAGCAGCTCGCTCAGAGCATGCAAATTAGGCTCTCGCTCTCTTATGAGAGAAAGAAAAGTCTCTGTTTTTTCTCATGGATAGACAGACGGCTGAGGGAGGCCAGCTCCCTCCGAGACCCCTTCTCTCTCCTTTTTCTCCTGCAAAGCCTGTCTGCCCCCGTCAGGTCCCAGCCCTCTGCATGCTGGATTGCTGGCCACAGCCTAAGTCCTCTGACACCACTGAAGCGAGCTGCTGCGACCCTGCGAGGTAGTGTAGGGTGTCTTCATGGGTCCTCTGTAGCCATGGTGCCAGAACAAATCCATTCCCGGTTCCCTCGCGCTGACACGAGCTGTCTCGGGCGCTCTCGGTCTAAGGCAGGTTATCCTTTCGCTGTGCTACGGTTGTCAGGGTGGTAGGAACAAATCGATTTCTCTTCCGTCAAAGAGTAATCTTATTATGTTCAAAGAGGTAGGTAGAAGGCGATGCAGAGCTATGGGCCAGGCAGGTGCACCGCCACAGAAATGAATGGGAGGCATGCTGATTTACACCACCCCAGGATTGACTCCACGCACTCAGTCGCTTTTCTTGGCAGCGCTTTGCCTCTGGCATGACTGATGGCTCGAGGACTTCAGAGTCACTTCCCAGCTCGTGCATCTGAGCCAAACACGACCTGAAACGCCATGCTGCTACGCTGTCGGCAGACTGAATCGCTCTAGATGTTGAGGAAAGGGCCAAATCCTTTCTTCTCCTGGCTGTCGGTGCAAATCCAGCCCAAGCGACTGACAAGCCATTACAAAAGTGGCCACCTGCGAGGAGCCCCGCATCCAGTCTCCTCATCACTGGGCATGAGGAGCAGTGGGAATTCACACAGGACAGCTTACACTCGACGGCTCTGCAGAAGGAAAGCAGGCAGGGAGAGCAAAGGACAGTCACGTGCACGTCTGCTCTCCTCCCTGGCTGGAGTCGAGGCACCGGCATGCAGCAGTGCAGGCAGAGCCAGCTGAGTCCCTGGGGGGGGCTTGTTTACTCTGCGGATAACACAACAGAGATTATTCCTCCGAGCTGTCAGCCCAGCCCCTTCTCCAACATCAACAATGCTCTGCTAAAAGCACCTGTCACGGCAAGGACCTCCAAATGTGTTGGAAGCATTAACTCTTGGAGGCTCCCCACCAACAGGAGAGGCCCTGGGGGGTTATTAGCCTCACCTGACAGACGGGGAGATGGAGGCACAGTGACGGTGTACCAGAGCAGGCTGGGAGCAGATCGTGGGCATCCTGTTCTCTTGACAACTTGTCATGGCTTAACTACCACCAAGCTCATAGCATCACGGTGACACTGTAGTGCAGGACTCATCTCTGGGAACAACAGTCCCAAATTGGGAGATTTACCACGTCCTTGAAGCACAGCTTTAACCGGCCTGCGCAGGGTCTGCATCGGTGTGATGGGATGGATTTATCCTGGCTGTATTCCTCAAATCTGCACAAAGGTGCTTGCCTCCGGCTGTGATTGCTAAACAACAGACCCTCTGCAGCAATTGCTTCTCTAAGAGAGTCATCAGTCATAAACATTGCCTAATTTTTTTTCTCCCAGATTTCACAACCAGAGATTAGTGACAGATTAACTTTAATTTTAACAGCCCTCACTGTTCTCAAATTTGTCCCTCCCCTGCTGGCATACTGAGACTAATTGACTGCCTCCTCCTCTGACTGCGCAGTGGGTTTGACCTTGCTTTTAACACAGCACCAAAGCCAAACACTCCCATGTGCCGGGGTACTTCCACCCCATCCTGCCTTGTACCAGCTCACCACTGTCCCCCTCCCAGATGATAAAGCCACTAATTGACTCCTCACGCTGTTCGCTGTTTCTGAAGTGTAATGTGTCAGAAGCTGTCTGGGATCCTCAGATCTCTCCCTCTCTTGCAAGATGGATGTCAAGGTGATTTTAATCATCTCTATCTACGTATAAAGAGCCTCTGAAAAACAGCAAACATATTCATCTGCAAAATGTGTTAGAAAACAATCAAATGCTCTACATGGACATGAATAAGATGATCCTGTTGTTAAGGCTCTGGACTAGGACTTTAAGAGTTTTTAGGACTCGGGATTTTTTAGTAGTGGATATGATTGGTCTGTATAAATACACCAGGTGGAGGAGGTCCACAGCAAAGAGGTAGAACAGTTTTTGAAGCTAAAGTGATAGCGTTGGCACAAAAATAAATAGATATAAAGGAGCGAGAAATACACAGGCTGAAAATTAGAAGAGGGTTTCTAATGATCAGAGGAGCTGAAGTGACGGCATACCTTTCCCAGAAAAGGAGCGAAGGCAACACAACCACCTGGTTGCAAGTCGGAGCTCGATACCTTTGCAAGAGAGATGGTACATCCTCGTGGCAGGTGACAGCCCATGGCCTCGATGGAGAAAGTTCCCTCCATGTCCTCATGCTGTGTGGTCCCACTGCAGACCCCCACGGTGTCATCTCTGCACCCCCCTGCCTCCTCCGGAGGGAGAGCCAGCCCTGCTCTGCCTGTGCTGCCTGCAACGCCTGCAAGCGTCTCGAGGCAGGAGGTCTGTCTTATTATATGTCCTTGTTATAGGCAGGGAGCAAACACACAGTTTCAGTGCGAACCAGCCCACAGAGCCTTGAGCCTGGAATAAGCAAGGAAGTGCCATTGCTCGTGACACTGCCCCATCCCCACAGGCAGGCAAGGTCCCTCAAATTAGCTGCTCTGCAAAAGGCGTTATTTGGATCGGTGACACTTAAAGATTTCACATCTCCGTAGAAAATCACCAGTGGCTAACACAATGCAAGTGGGGCATTCCCAGTTCGCTCCTCCTTCAGCTCCTCCGTTCAGATGCAGCCACGTTAGCAAAGCCTGGGCTTTCAAGCTCCTTATAGCGCGAGATGACAAAATACCACTCAAGCTAATGATTTTAATGAAGTCTTCTGCTCAGTGCCCCGCAGGCCGGAATGGCAGCTGATGGCAGCGAGAGATGACATGGCAAGACCTCTCCATAAGTTTCAGAGGCACCACAGGTACTTACCACCCCCACTCCCCAGCTAAAAATTAAGGTGAAGCCAGCCCTGAATACGGGTCTCTTAAAACAGGCAGGAGACCGCCACTGCAACAAACCCAGATACCTTCTGGGCTCTGATTAGCAAGCACTGTCCTACAGATTGCATCCATCACCTCGCCTTCCTCCGTGTCCCCAGGAAAAGGAAGGAGTGCAAAATGCTATCATCTCTCATCAAGTCTGCGTTTGGAGAGCCTTGTCGGCACTAACGGGAAAGAGACTCTGCCAGGAGGAGATCCGTTTAAGTAGGTACTTGGTACATGGTGCCTGCATTGGCCCGAAGGGGAGGGAATTCAGGGCATCTGGAGAGGAAAAGGGAATAAAGCAAACGAAGGAAAGCCCTTAGAGGACACTGCACAGGTCTGCCACGTGGTTGGCACTCCTGAAGAACACTACTGCAAGACTGATGCCAGCAAGGCAAGCAGGCAAAAGCTTCCTCCAAAGAAGTTAGCATGGGACACAGAAAGCACCAACTATT